TGCTCCTGTAAAGATTATAACCTAGAAATCCTATGGGGCAGTTGTACTCTGTCATATGGGGTCACTGTGAGTTGAAATTTAATGGCACTTAGCAATAATATAGTTTGGCCCTCTTGCTTTGTGTTAAGGTGACAACAGTTTTACCCATCATTGCTTTGGCACATCAGTGCAAATGTCAATAGAGAAGGGCAGATAAGTCCTTAATATTATTATGAAAATAGTTCTGACCTCAAAGACCCTTGAAAAGGTCTCAGGCACTCTAGGGGTCTGTGGACCACCCTTTGAGAACCACTGCCTTGTTGCCGTAGCATAGCAGAATGGAGATGCAGACTTTTTTCCACTTTTTTATTTGGCATAGCGTGATTCATGTTTAGAAAGTAAATTTAATCACAGAGGCATTATTCCAAGCATGTGCTTTGCTAAAGTGGAACAAAATCTTTTAAAGTGCCTTTGCCCTTTGACCAGTAATTCCACTTCCAGGCATTTATCTTTAAAAAATAACCAGAGATAGCACCAAAGACTTATGTTGAATTTAAAAATCTTCATTTCAGCATTATTTGTAATATTGAAAAACTAGAAACCACATAAATATTCAACAACAGGGGATTGGATAATGTGGTGCATCCATACAGTGGAATATACTTTGCAGTCATTAAACACGAAGTTTCAAAAAAGCATTTAGTGCATGTGAAATACCAGTGACTTATAGAGTGAAAAAAGTAGGCCTACCAAACCAAACGGGCTTCTTGTTTTATAAAGGGAAGGACAGTCAACTAAATAAAATAGTATTTATCTTTGGATGGTGGATTTTTATTTTTAATTTACATTATCTCATTTTTTCAAGTGTTACACAATGGAATATCTATTTACCTACCTACCTACCTACCAATCCCCCACTCCCTACACACACAATAAGTATTATTTAACAAAAGTTTAAAAGAGGTGGAAAGTTGAGTGGTAGGCCAGATCCTTGTTAAGTATGTTTCTTCCCAGCTTGAAGAAAGTTTAACTTATTGGGATTCCTGCTTGCCTACTGGCAGCTTCCATTTGCAAACTGGTCTTGGACCACCTACTCCTGGCTTCTGCCCTCCCTACTGGTCAGGGTGGCCCCAGGCTGAGTGGCGAAGAAGGAACTTGCCTGCAAAGGCTACTAGTTCTCCAGGAAGGAGAAGAGAGCTTGACAACAAACTCCTCTTCTGTACCAGCAGCCCTTGCGCCCCACCCACAGTCCCTCCCAGGCAGGAGCGGCTAACCTACTGCCCATAGCAGATAAATGTCTCCATCTGCCCCCTCTATCCTCCCATTCATATGAACCTTACACTATGATTTTTCCTTTCTCTGGACCTTTGGAAATGGAGTTATAGCAAATCAACTAGAGGAACGAAAAAAAAAAAAAAGCACATTTTCTAAATAAGAAATTTATTTGACCAAGTGACAATATATGAAGATATTTTAAGCTATAAGGCTCTATTTGGACAAAAGGTGTCTTTATTATAAAGTAAGTTTTGCAATGTAAATGGCACCTAAATCAAAGAATGAGGTTCCTACAACATTTATGTACAAAGCATTCAAAATCTTCATATACTTTAAAACTAGGTTATAAGTTTAACAGAAAAATCTGTAAATAGTAGTTAAAAGCAGGTTTCTTAAATTTATGACACCTACAATATATCATTATACACGAGGTATTTGGGGGTGCTGTGACAATCAAAACATGGCTACTATCAGTGTGAAAAGTGTCGCCCCATGATGAGGAGAACCCAAGTAACCATGCCTGAAACCCGAGTTCCCTACACAGCATCCTACCACTCCAAATCCTCAGGAATTTGAATTGAGTAGGTGGAAATTACTAATCACTTTAGTTGGGAATAATTAGAAAAAGAAGTTGGGAACCCAGGGCTGGGAAGAGGGAAGGGAGGGGAAACCGAGGCAGGGCAGAGTCAGAAGTTTGTGCAGAGCAACTTTAGGAATGACCAAGGAAATGGAGGAAACAATCAGGTGGATCTTTGGAGCTGCACCCTGGGGTCTACAGGGAGGAGGGCACCGAGCCCTGTGGGGAGGGGCTGACCCGCAGGCCCAAGTGCTTGGACAGGAGTCAACCACACACTAGCATGAAATCTTCAACAGAGGATGAAGTCCCTACCTGTCTCTACTGGGGACAGGGTGAAGTGTGTAAGATGCATCAGCTTTTCCTACAGGTTTTTCCAACATCCAAGTGACTCTGTTTTGGGGGCCATGATGGGGCCTGGGAGACAGGTGTCGACAGCTCTGAGTTATAAGATCATAAAAGCTTCAGACATGTAGAAGGAGAACCAGACACAAAGAAAGAGACGTCTCCTAATGCACAGACTGCTGACAGCAAAGCACAAAGGTGTCCAACAATCAAAGTAAGAGATAGGGAGAAACAGGAAAGATTCTAGAAAGCAAAGGATGATTAATGAAAAATAATCATATAGCACCCGTTATTATTAAGATACATAGTGTTGAGGATCTATTTAGTAGGCTATTATTTTAATAAATGTAAATATTGATGAGTGCCTTGAAACTATTCTAAGTGATAAACACATTCCATTAAAAATATTCCACTCCAGATTCCCACAATTGACTTGATGTAGTAGATTTGGGGTAAAAAGAAATATTTTTGCAGACAATTTTCTGAACCTTGATCACACAGCTAAGCGGATGCCAGAAAACACAGGAAGAGTCTTATTTGGGATAAACATGTTTTTTTTTATCTATATGTTTATGTGTTACACAAAGATATACTTGTTCATTTGTATGAATGAATTTTAAGTCATTCATAGGAGACCTGACACTTAAAACTTTCTTCTGTTTCCTTATCTGCTCTCTTGCTATCAAGCCTATGTGGGAGGGCTACTCAACAGCTCAAGGCTCCTTTTCTCCGAGTCTCACTGGCTCCCTTAGAGGTGTGTGTGCATTTAAAAATAGTTTCGTGTTTCCCATTCAGGCAAAGTGGTTCTTTTAAGACTCCTAATCTAGAGATTTTAATCTTCATTGATCCACATACACACAAGTTTTAATAAACGGCGAATTATTTTATATCACTTAATTTTAGCAGTGTGCTTTTAAGATAGGTTTGTTTCAGTATTACAGAAGATAACCCCCAAACCTGTCCAGGTTGGTCATTATAGATGAGCCTCTCTGCTGTCCGGGGATGACAAAGTGAAAGGGACCTGAAGAGATGACAGGGTGGCAGAACTCCAAGGTTCTGTGGATCCACAGAACATTACAAAACGTGGCCTCAGCAGAATCTAAAATCACTGTCTACTTAGGGCAGGATGTAATATCTAATTACCCTACAGAGTGATTTGGTAAATTAGTCTTATCCATCTGTAAACTAAATGAGCTACATGTTCTTACTCCATTGGTGAAGGGAAAACTATTCACACAGTTACATTATAGTTATATATGCGTGCTCAGGTACAGAGAGAGATAGTTCAACCTAATATATCTTAACAATCTCAGAAACAAGGCCAAGTCACTCAGCTTTGCTTCATTTCCTCAAAATAAATTCCTAACTTAGCAAACTGAAGAGACCACTATAGCAGTAATGTAAAATCAGCCTTTTCACTGTGCTGTTAAATAAGCCACATTTGAAATAAATGTCAAGAGCTGGGTTCCCAATTCTGTGTAAATTTTCTCAATGAGTGGCCTAGAATGTAAATTTAACTTGGTAAATTACTAAACTAATTGACTCAGGAAGGGTGGATTTAGGAAAATGGGGTGACCCTGTATTACCTTAGTTCTATACCTTCTCTAACATAAATCATCTTTTGGCAAGAGATGCTTCTTTTGGCTCAGGTCACCTGAAAATAATTTCATTTAGAACTTTTCTTAGCTATTTAATGTAACAGGGGACTAACTCAAAGTTGCTTCTAATGGATGAAACAAAATAAATGTGAATGGGGCATGACATGGCGTATCCAAACAATGGGCTTCATTCAACTGAGCGACAAGGCCACTCAATCCAGCCAGGTGCCATAGTCACAGTCACCAGCTGCAGGGATGGTTTGAGCAAAACCATGCTCAGCTCCTCATAGCCAAATACCACTGTCTCCTACAACATGATTCTGGTAAGAAGTAAGATCTAGAATCAAGCCTGTCACGGGAAGAATGAGGCTGGGTCCCACGGCATGCCCTCTGTGCGTGGTCTGCTCCCCACAGCTGTGCTCACATTCAGAGCCCTGGCACTTGGAATCTGGCACATATTTTAAAGAGACATCTGTGTTTCCGGAGGCACAAACTAAAACTCCAGAATACAAGCCAAAGAATGAAGCTCATCTTTCAGTTACCCTATCCTTATGACACCTTTCTCATCCACTTGCCTCTCCAGTCCTCTCTACCCCCAGTAAAATGGTTCCCACACCAGGGTGTGTGGGTCAAGATGGCTCAAAATCACAGGCAAGTTTAGTTGAAGGTTGACACTGAGCTCAGAACTGCTACCATTTGTTATCTTTCCAGCTTCAGGTTTCAGACCAGTGTATAAATGGAATAATGTAAGAGTAATGTGAGTAAAGTCTGATGAGTTTTGTTCATTATCAAGCTATCTACAGAACGCCCACATGAGTAAGGTGATCTAGTAGAATAATCCATCTGGCCTGGGAAAAAAATAAACACCAGTCAAATCACTTCTTTCTCTAAAATTCCTCATTAAAAAAATCAGTTGAAGAAAGCCTGAGATTCCCTGCTTTTTAATGTTACCTCAACCTCAATTTCAAATTTGCATTGCTTTGGTAAACCTATCAAATGGACAACTCCATCACTTTGGCAGTGAACAAATTGTCTGTGAGGAAAAAGAACCACAGCTTGGAAAAATAAGTGAAAGGCATGTACATTAAGAGCACTAAGATTTTTTAAGTTAAAATGATAATATATCTAGAAAATACTGTGAAAATATATATCTCAAAATAGAACCAGGTTCAGTTAGAAGGCTCAGCAAAACCATTACCTAAAAAGCTGACCAATAAAATGGACAGGCAAAATAACCTTCCCATTTTTGACCTTCCCACTCTCCTGCCATCAGACTCTACCAGTCTGGATGTACTAGAGCAGAATAATCTAAAAGCCATGAAAAAAGTGCTGGTATTTTTCAGGATCTCTTCAAGACCATTTCCATCTTGGTAATGGGAATCCTCTCTCTGATCAAGGCAACTGGTGCACTTTAAAGGAGTCTGGAGACGCCCGTTCAAAGACCTCATCGTCTTCTTCCACCCCTTCTTCTATCGGTTTCATCTTGGCAGAGGCTCGCTGGTGTGGGGATGACACATCTGTCAAAGGTCACAAAAAGGAAAACCACTTAATGTGCAACCTGCACTGATACTGGTGTGAAGGATCTCTCAGAAACTCCAACTGGCAAAGAAAAATTTATAGAAATCTGTAGTTGGTATCAAGAATACAGTTTCCCTAAACATTATATTTTCAATCCAGCACTTTGATAAAACAACAAAGTCAGGAAGTGATTCTCAGCTATGACAGAAGATGTGGAGCCGATTCCACTGCAACAACTTGGATGATATGAGCTTTTCAAACATACCAAACTCCCAGCGGGTTGCCCTAAAACCTATTTAGGACTCAGAATGCCTGTTCCTACATGAATATCATACGTGGTGACTAGGGTCCCATGCTGACCCTCAAAGCTGATTTACTCTGACTTTTCCTAAAGAATCATTCTTTACTAAAACTATGAAACCTAACACCATATAACACCACCTAAAAGAACACTCCTTGTCACTACTGGCCAGGGATGGATTACTCAATAAGCAAGGTACACACAGGATTAATTGTGTTTACTTACGAATCTGTGGTACACAATTTCACCTGTTTTTCACCACATCAAATTCCAGTATGGTACAGGGGGAGGCAGCATCCACAAAGGTCTAATGTTTCCTGAGATTTATTTCCAGGGTTCAAATCCCTGCTCTGCTGGTTTCTAACTGTGTGGTCATCAGTCGATTTCTAAACCTCTTTAGGCCTCAGTTTCCATACTTCTGTTGTTGCTAGCTGTCATAGAGTCGGCTCCAACTCATGGTGACATATATAGAACAGAGTGAAATGTTGCCTAGCTCTGTGCCATCTTCATGACCATTGGTATGTTTTAGTCCATTGCTGCAGCTATTGTGTCAATCCATCTCACCGAGGGTTTCCCTCGTTTTTGCGGACCCTCTACCAACCATGATATCCTTTTCTAGTGATTGGTCTTTCTTGATGACATGTCCAAAGCAAGCAAGCCGAAGTCTCACCATCCTCATTTCTAAGGGGCATCCTGGTTGTATCCATACCTCTAGAAAGGGGATAGTCAGACGAACTGCCTCATAAGGCTCTCGAGAGGATTAAACATAAGAATGCATGTAATGTTCTTGGCAGGGTGCCAGGCACACAGTAAGCTTCACTAACCAAACCAAACCAAACCCTTTGCCATTGAGCTGATTCCGACTCATAGAGATCCTACAGGATAGAGTAGAATTGCTCCACAGGATTTCCAAGAAGCGGCTGGTGGATTCAAACTGCAGACCTTTTCGTTAGCAGCCGAGTTCTTAACCATTATGCCACAAGGACTTCAAGCATCACTAGATATCATTTATTATTAACTGCACATTTAGGGAAATGCCACTGCCAACAGCTACATCTTCCAACATAAAAAGATCACAATTAGGCAGGGCAGGACTTTGGAATAGTTAATGTGTGTTTGTTGTACACACAGAAACTGTTCACTTACAAACATTTAAAGTCCATTAAGATATGGAGTTTCTTGAAAAATAACTACTGAAATAAACTGGAGAAAATAAATCTCTATTAAATGGTCCAAGAACACAATTTTCTTACAGAGCACAGCATGACAGAATCTCTTAGGCAAGTTCTTTTTAGCATTTTCTATACAGTAAAGTCAAGCATTCCACACACAACCACTAATTTCTACGTCTACTTATATGGCAATTAGTACCATCTGTGTGACCCTGGGCAAGCTACTTCACCTCTCTGTGCCTCAGTTTCCTCATCTATAAAATAGGAATAACAACAACACCTATCTCATGTGGTTGTTATGAAGATTAAATGACTTAACATTTGTAAAGTTAGATCTGTGCCTGGCAGCATAAATGCTTTATGAATATTTGTAAGTAAATATAATTAATTAATATGGTCTTTAGAAGGCAATAGCCTAAATAATGAAAAAAATCATTAAAATTTATCATCACCCACACCAAACCAAAAACCAAACCCATTGCCGATCCCAACTCATAGCAACTCTATAGGACAGAGTAGAACTGCCCCATAGAGTTTCCCAGGAGCAGGTAGTAGATTCTAACTGCTGACTTTTGGTTAGCAGCTGAGCTCTTAATCATGCAACCAGGGCTCCATAGGAATGACCAATAAAAAAAAAGGAACTCATGCTTGAATAGTGGCCTGTGTTTCTCAATCTAAACTGTCCTGAATGCGGCAAACTTTACTTGTTTCTTTTGTTTTTTACATCATTAGCTATGGCTTCCATCATAATATTTCTAGCCTCAGTTATAAGCCTCATAAAATATTAACTTAGGCTGAGTATCTGCAATCAGATAAAACCCTTAGTACAAGATGGCATGTCTAAGACAATTAAACCAAATCAATAATATATAGCATTTAGACATAATTGTACTGCACACATAACAGAACTCGTCCAGTTTGTTTTGACTGGGGAAGTGGGACTAATTCATCCCTAGTTTTCAAGCCTGTCTATCAAAATAGTGATGGCATTCTACAGTGAGGCTGATACCTGTATTGTGGCTAAAATATATTATTTGACCCTGTCAAGCACTTCACCTATTGTTGCATTTCTCACTGAGAGAAAATGAAGAGAGGATCCAATACAGCTGGAAATGGTCAAATGAAAACATTCCAAGAATTTACAGCTTCTGTGTGGAAGGATTTATTCTAGTCCCACTATATTGGCCTTGGGCTCAAGCATAACAATGATTGTGAGGATGGTGCAGGACCTGGCAGTGTTTTGTTCTGTTGTACACAGGGTTGCTATGAGTTGGAACCGACTCAACGGCACCTAACAACAATGACGTATTGGCCTGGGCAAAGCAAGAACTGTGGTACTATACAACATTAAAAAGGACAAGGCAGAGTCATCTGCAGTTCTTGGGGTGTCACCCAGGGGTCCCCAAGTTGGGCCCCCTTCTTCCTTATAGCCCAAGCTCCAGCAAACTCAGTGTTCCCCAAATCCAAGTCATCGTTTTCCTCTTCACCTCTGGCTTTTCTCTCCACCTGGAATGGTCCCTCCACTCCCATCCCTCACCACCAAGTTCCTATCCATTCCTCAAGATGGAGTTTGAACACCATCTCCTTCATTGCAGCCTTCCCTAATTCCCTCTATTGGGAGATTTAATTCTTCCCATTAAACAGTTATAGCCCTTACACATTCTATATTATATGTGCTCACAAGTACTTGCATCTCTCTATTATTGGAAAACATGCGTTTTGAGAGCTGTAACCACAACCTCTTTACTCCTGCAGCCTCTCAGAAGTGACACAGTCTAGCCCTTGATAATTTCTTGGTGCATGGGTGTGGTAGGCTGAACGATGGCCCACAAAAGATATCTGGGTCTTACCCCTGGAACTTGTGAATATTACAGTACATGGCAAAAAAGAAAAAAAGTCTTTGCAGGTGTGATTAAGTTAAGGATCCTGAGATGGGGAAATTATCCTGGATTATCCAGGTGAGCCCTAAATGAAAACACATATATCCTTATAAGAGGGAGGCTAAAGAAGATTAGATGACACACAGAGAGGGTGATGTGAAGACAGAACAGAGCAGAGAGAGATTTGAAGATGCCAGCCTTGAAGATTAGAACGATGTGGCCATAAGCCAAGGAATGCTGGCACCCACCAGAAGCTAGAAGACGCAAGGAATGGATTCTTCCCTAGAGCCTCCAGAGAGAATGCAGGCCTGCCAACACCTTGATTTTGGCCAATGATACTTAGTTTGGACCTCGGGCCACCAGAACAGTGAGAGAATAAATTTCCATTTAAACCATCAGGATTGTGGTAATTTGTTATAGTTGCCACAGGAAACCGATACAATGAGTGATGAAAAAAAATCCCTCATCCAAAGCTCTACACGGGACCGTCAGAAAGCCGATTCTGAGGATGTGGGGAAAACACGTGGTCATCATATTTTAATCTCTGATGGGCTAACCCCTAACCCTACCAGTGGGGCACCAGAATTCCTCAAGTGGAGGCAGCTCCAGGGCTACAGTAAAGCCTCACTATGAAAAGGGACTGTCAGCACTGTGTGCTATATCACACCTCCTGAAGGAAATCACTTTCCTATGACTGATGTGACACTGCTTGTAGCATGGACATGAGTACTGTGCTCCCAGGTAAACATCAACATGGTTTGATGTACCACTGCCTGCCACAAAGCTTCCATCCAATCAGCAAAAAAAGATCATCGAGCGTTACAAGGTGCCAGACATGGGGTTAAATGCTGGGGAGGTAAAAATGAATCAGATATAGGCCCTGACTCTAATTTTTATTTTATTTCCTCAGGAACTCAAAACCCTTTTCACACCAATGCATCCTCATTACATCCATACTATTATTTCTCTTTTATACTCAGAAGCCAAAGCAAAGACAAGCCAGACAACCTGTGCAAGAAAATGAAGTAGGGTGGCTGCATGGATGAACTCATTTCTCACAGGGAGGAAGCACTGAGACAGAAACATATTTTGGGGGAATAAACCAGGTGGCCCTGACAGCCTGGCAAGAATTCATTTTTCGGCCAATGTTCTTTTCACACAGGGAATACTTGACTCACTTACATTTCAGGCTATGTGACTAGGCAAGTCCCCCACGTCCCAGTCCCCACATGACATTGCCTCTGTCCACATGATAAGAAACTCCTCTTTGTCTACCACCCAGATACTCCAATAGACAACAGAAAAATGGTCCCGCTGTGTAACTGCTAGAAGGTACCCACTGCCAGGTGGCTGCCTGACATTCAGTAGGAATCAGTCACGAGGAATGCCCACTTTTTGCACCAGGAGCCTGGGCCTCAAGTACCATCGAGGGCCAAGTATGATGTTCACAGCCACAAAAACCAAAGGACCACCTGGCCCTTTCTGGGAAATGTTAACTGTCAGGGCCAGGAGAAAGGCAGGCATTGAGGAGCAAGGAGCTCACTGCCACCTCGACATGGTGCTCTCTGACCCCATAAGGAGACCTACTGGCTCATTAAAAAGATTTAGAGTCTATCACTATAAATTTCCTTCTTTGTCCACTAATA